TGAGCATATTCACTGTGTTTCAATTTCATGAATTTGTCAAGGAAACAATAATTTTTATTGTTATTTATTTTTACATCTCCACATAGATTTAATGTAGTGGATTTTACTCTGTGAATAATTAATGGATTTACATTAGTCATCAAGTACCATTCGAGGATACCATACATAAAATACATTGCACAGAAAGACAGAAATAAATAATACATAATTTTGTTTTTGGTGCTAGCTTTATATTGATACGACTACCGGTATATCAGCTGACCAACCAGGTATTTGCTTTTTTAGGAATAAACAGTAGTGTAACTGTGTACTGATATATTATTTCATTTATTTTTGAAATGTAGAAATCTAAAGTTAAAAAGGTTGGCCACACAGATTCTGTATTAGATCTATCCTGGAATCACCATGTGAAAAATGTCCTAGCCAGTGCATCAGCTGATGCCACTGTTGCATTATGGGATTTAACTCAAGGAAAACCTGTCACAACACTGAAGCAGCATACAGATAAAGTGAGTAGTGTCTTTGAATTGAATTTGTACTTGAATTGCCACTACCAGAAATTAATTAATTAATTTCAATATTGCAATAAATTATTGTACATTAGATGTGTATGTAAGAATACTGTCATAAAATTAAAAAGTAATTGAGCAAATATCAAAATAAAGTCCAGTATTCGTAATTTTTCATCTTATGGTTTGAGTGTAATTTGTGAAAAATCCGTTAAAATGAATGACTTGTCAGCTCATTTTTGGTTTCCAGTGAAAATATAAATACTGAGTACCGTAAATTGACTTTCATGTAAACAATCAATGTATTTTACACGTGTTGCTTACCGGTACATCATTGTGATCCCATATCGAACAGGACGCGGCATGGCAACTGTAATTTGAGTAATTTGAATGACTTTTCATCTTTACAGGTACAGACATTACAGTGGCATCCTTTTGAAGCCCAATCATTACTCACAGGTGGATTTGATAAGTGAGTCATCCTTAATATTCATCAAAATATTCTTTGCATTGTGTGTAGTATACTTTTCACATTCTTGATGTAGCGCCCATTTTGTTTCCAAGACAGGGCAATTATGTTTGTTTTACATTTTGCCAGGAATTTCACCACCAGACTTTCTCGCCCAAAAGTTTTCTGCACTTTTTTCTTGTATTCTTCAATATTTCCAGAAATGAACCGTAATTTCCTGTTTTTACTCGAACAATTTGGCTATTTTTGTCCCAATCTTCTGAAGGAAAGTGCAAACTATAAACAGGACTAATTTGTAATGCAAAGAGGGAACTGGTTAAAGAAAGGTTAAGAGAAGAAACTGATTTCATTCATACTGAGTTTCTTATCTGGAATTTTATTCACATGATCTTGTCCGCTTTGTATGACGAAAGTGATGATTTCACTTCACCATCAATTGTTCACACCTTGACTGCAGTATTCCATTCTAACATTCCACACACATTTTCCAGCTCTCACCAGCTGTGCCAAATATTATAGAAGTGTAGACACTTTGAAGAGACATATGATTGTCTTCCCTTTTCTGAACAATCATGAGAAAGAAAAGATTTTCTGGACAATGTCACAGATCATAAGCACATGGACAAATATAGTTAATCTGTTCCAAATATGATTTTAGATGACATCAACGTCTCATTTCAGAAACAATTTTCACACTTTAAAGCTACACTGGTGCATGTGTTCATTCCATTCTGTTTTCTGATTGGTCTTCATCGACATCACATGCTGTATACACACTTCAAAACATAAACTTGTCTCAAAGCTTTGGCCTCATGCACATACATGTAACAGTAATTTATCATCACTAAGGGAACTGATCATTGCTACCCCGCTGGTTTCCTGTGAGTTTGACTCTGTTTACTGTACCAGTCATTGCTCTACCTTACCAAACAATCACTGTACTAACAGGACAATTACGGTAATGAGGGACAATTACTGTACTGACGAGACAATTACCGTAGTGACGGGACAATTACTGTACCGATGGGACAATTACCATAGTGACGGGACAATTACTGTACCGATGGGACAATTACTGTAGTGACGGGACAATTACTGTACCGATGGGACAATTACCGTAGTGACGGGACAATTACTGTACCGATGGGACAATTACCGTAGTGACGGGACAATTACTGTACCGATGGGACAATTACCGTAGTGACGGGACAATTACTGTACCGATGGGACAATTACCGTAGTGACGGGGACAATTACTGTACCGATGGGACAATTACTGTACCGATGGGACAATTACCGTAGTGACAGGACAATTACTGTACCGATGGACAATTACCTGTAGATGGGACAATTACTGTACCGATGGGACAATTACCATAGTGACGGGACAATTACTGTACCGATGGGACAAATACCGTAGTGACGAGACAATTACTGTACCGATGGGACAATTACTGTACCGATGGGACAATTATTGTACCGACGGGACAATTACTGTACCGATGGGACAATTACTGTACCCATGGGACAATTACCGTAGTGGCGGGACAATTACTGTACCGATGGGACAACTACTGTACCGATGGGACAATTACCGTAGTGACGAGACAATTACTGTACCGATGGGACAATTACTGTACCGATGGGACAATTACTGTACCGATGGGACAATTATCGTACTGACGGGACAATTACTGTACCGATGGGACAATTACTGTACCGATGGGACAATTACCGTAGTGGCGGGACAATTACTGTACCGATGGGACAACTACTGTACCGATGGGACAATTATTGTACTGACGGGAGAATTACTGTACCGATAGGACAATTACTGTACCGATGGGACAATTACTGTAGTGACGGGACAATTACTGTACCGATGGGACAATTACCGTAGTGACGGAACAATTACTGTACCGATGGGACAATTACTGTACCGATGGGACAATTACTGTACTGATGGGACAATTACCGTAGTGACGGGACAATTACTGTACCGATGGGACAATTACTGTACCGATGGGACAATTACCGTAGTGACGGGACAATTACTGTACTGATGGGACAATTACCGTAGTGACGGAACAATTACTGTACCGATGGGACAATTACTGTACCGATGGGACAATAACTGTACCGATGGGACTATTACTGTACTGATGGGACAATTACTGTACCGATGGGACAATTACCGTAGTGACGGGACAATTACTGTACCGATGGGACAATTACCGTAGTGACGGAACAATTACTGTACCGATGGGACAATTACTGTACCGATGGGACTATTACCGTAGTGACGGGACAATATACTGTATCGATGGGACAATTACTGTACCGATGGGACAATTACCATAGT